CTGGGTTTCTCTGTGATTGGAGGGGAAAGGGGGATCTTTGTCAAGTCCATCACACCGGGAGGAATAGCAGAGTCCTCGGGCAAACTGCAAGTGGGAGACAGGCTGCTGAAAGTGAGTTATATTTGACATCTGCTGCTCACAATTCGTATTGATTAATGTTCTTTTGTTAATCAAGATTGAATGCATATTGTTCATTTACTGTTTAACTTGCGCCAAATGCATTTAACAGCTGACCTCTGCCCACACTATGAACTTCACGCAAACAAAATAACAAATACTGCAAAACGTTTAATCTGCTAAACATAGTTTTTCTTTGCGTATCAAAGATTGTGATTTTTCTTTGCAGGTGAATGAGGAACTAATGACAGGTGTGTCCCACACCAAAGCTGTCACCACCATCCGTAAAGCTAAAGGCCTGGTGCATCTTATAGTGTCCAGACCGCCAGACCAGAACCCCAGCACATACCTGGCCTATCTGCCCATCAACTCTGACAAGTGCAATGGAAACACAGGTACAAGCAGAGACGCAAAACATGGAATCTCTACGTGTTTTAGAAAGGTTTTGTGTGATTTCGTCTCTTAAATCATTTACGAAGATGTAATTCTATTGTATTTTTAATAATCTGACCTTTTCTCTCTGCAAACTCTCCTTCATGTTGCTTTCAGATCTGAGTGAGGACAATGGAGCAAAGACGAAGCTGTTTTCTCTCCATGATGAGCTGAAACCTGGCGGCGGTCCTCCTATTCCACCAATAGGTAACAACATACAGGGTACAAAGTGGACTGAAAATCTCCGTAGAACCATGTTAAATGTTGTTTGATTTGAACAAAAATAAATGAACTTGTATATGAAATAATAAAATTGTTAACTTCACAAACTCGACTTCATTCTCTGTTTCAAAGACTATGAAGATGATCCTCGAGGACACAGAAGAGAGACGGAGCACAGCGCAGAGTTTTCAGAGGACACAGACTGTGATGGCTCTTCTTTACCTGAAGACTCCCCCGAGGTACAAATCTAATCCATCCAACTTGATGAAACATTGAAGCTATATGCAGCTTCAGTTTATTATATATATATTCTTTAATTCTTTCAAAATAGAGTTCCAGGAAAGTGGAATGGCAAGAGGAGAACGTTGACGATCCGAGGAATGAAAAGTAAGATTTTGCTTTTCGGGTTTGCACTTGGGACTGTGAATATATTAATAAACATCTCACTGGTTATGTTTTCGAATCAACAGCTATCTGCAAATGGGTGCTGGACAGCCAGAGGAAGATGAAATCACATGGGGAAGTGATGACCTGCCAATTGAGAACATGAACTCCAAATCAAGAGATGGTAAGAGCGACTTTGGATTTGAAATTTGAGTGTAAGATGTGAGTTAAAGTTACAGGTGATGCGGCAATTTCTAATTGGGGTTGTCAGAATGGAGTCTATAATAAAGACGAAGTAATTTCAAATTTGTCTTCGCTGACAAAAAGTTGTTTGTGCCATTAGTTTTGTAATTTTGAATTATGTTCCTAATTCTGCTTTAACTGTCTCTGCCCCCCTCCAGACGGGCCAATCATCACAGAGGATGAGCTGACCTCTTTGCCCCTCGTCAAAGTGATCCCTGATGGCCAGTACACAGGACAGAAGCTCAACACTGTGGTCCGCATGATGAGGGGGCTCCTGGAGCAGAAGGTCCCGCTGCAGGAGTTTGATGTAAGAATCTACTTTGAATTTAAATGCATGTGAATGAATTACAATTCATTTGATTTTATTTTTTTTATGAACATCTTTTTCTGTTTTCCTTCCTGGCAGAATCTTCAGAACCTCCAGCCGCTGGACGACTGTTTGATAGGTCAGACGAAGGAAAACAAGAAGAAGAACCGCTACAAGAACATTGTTCCTTGTAAGAAAAGTCGCAAATATTTTTTGATAAATTTAGACACTTAAAATGTTGGACATAATTTGACTTTTTTTTTTTTTGTACACATCTCTTCCAGTTGACACAACTCGAGTTGTGCTGGGCAAAGACGGGGGCTACATCAACGCCAACTTCATCAATATGTCCGTGAAGGATGAGAACTATATGTATATCGCATGTCAGGGTCCCTTACCCACAACTCTGGGGGACTTTTGGCAAATGGTCTGGGAGCAGAAGTCTAATGTGATCGCCATGATGACCCAGGAAGTAGAGGGAGGGAAAGTGAAATGTCAGCGGTACTGGCCAGACACACCGCGGACCGCAGAGATGGTGGACGAAAGGTTACAGATCACGCTGCTCAAGGACCAGTTTCTCGACAACTTTGTCATCCGACTCATCGAGGTCAAAGATGTCCAGGTTGGTTTGTTTACAAATTTAAAACGTTCCTACACTGTGAACAGACACGTTAACTTGAGAGTTTCTCCTCCCTCAGACCAATGAAATACAGCGTGTAACTCACCTTAACTATACGGGATGGCCAGACCACGGGACGCCCTCACAACCCGAGCAGCTGCTCACGTTTATCTCCTACATGAGGCACGTCCATCGATCGGGGCCAATAGTCTCACACTGCAGTGCGGGCATCGGTCGATCGGGAACCCTCATCTGTATAGACGTGGTTCTGGGTCTCATCAGTAAAGATGCAGACGTAAGCAGACGATCTTTATCTTGTTTATGAGGAAGCTTCTGGTTTTTTTTAATTGTCTCTTCTGTGTTCAGGATGATCCCAATCTAATGAACGCTTTCTGTAGTTTGATCTTTCAGATGTGGTACGGAACATGAGACTTCAGAGACAGGGAATGATCCAGACAGAGGTGAGTTTTAATGTTTGATTTAAGAATCAAGAAGCTTAATTCTTACATGTTCTGATTCGACATCTCTTTGGTTCGTTTTCCCTTCTTTTTTTTACAGGAGCAATATGTTTTCTGCTATCAAGTGATCCTCTATGTCCTCCGATGCCTCCAAGCAGAGGAAAACATCTCTGGATAGTAGCCATCGTGTAGAGGCTGGGTGACTGTTTCAAACAAAAATGGAGGAGAGTTGACACAGGCAGAAATTGCCAAATTACACATGTTTTTAAAAATGCCTTAAAATATCCAGTTCCTTGAGAGTACATCCTTTAAAGAAGTCTATATTTTTATGTTTGCTTTTTGAGTTCTCTCTCTCTCTCTTTGGCTGCTACTCCTTTTCAATGCATTTATGAGAACTGCTGATTGTATTTCTTATTGTCACCTACAAGAGAACACTAATATTTTTCCCCAGATTCTTGGATTTTTTTTTAATAATTATGAAATTGATCAATGATTTCATATTTTATGTGGAACAAAATTGTACTTGTGTATTTTGAATCCTATGTTTATGCTGGAACATGCCTTGACAGAATACTATGTCAGTATTTGCTTTGTAAATCTATTATACAGTAATTGCTTACTGCCTGAGGAATAAAGTGTACATATTCATCTCCTGAAAATTAAACTGCCTACATTTTAAGTGTAATGTGGAGGAAAGTTTTATTCAAAAAAAAAAAAAAAAAGATTCAAATATTGTCTTTTGTAAAGAGCGTACTTAGGTTGGCATCACTTTCCTCACTTTATTTATAGACGCATTAACCTAATTCAGCTTTCCCAGCCTTGCTGACGAGCAAAAACACTGAAGATGATGAGGAAGAAAAGCTACAACTTGTGCACCTGTATAAGGGATGATGACTTGACAATTACACAACATAAACATGTACATACATATACATACTATACTGCACAGAAATGCATCAATGAAGCCTATAATGTTTAGCTTTTGCTGAGGCTGACAGAGAAGTGTTAACTTCTCATATTTGGAGCTATAGTTTGTGATGATGAGCTGACAGTCTCTACAAAGATTGAACATTTTAACCTCCATATTGTATTCTTCTGCCTGGCTGTTGGATTGGAATTCATATTTTACAGGTGTTCATGTTACTGTCTTTCACATGTATGTAGTCATTAAACATGATTGTTCTGAATGAATGACTACACACCCCTGAGCTATTGTATTCATGTCACTGTAAAATGTCTGTTATGTCTCAACACTTCTATCCATTAGCTTCTATGATAACGTTGACATTGTTTGGTTTGTGTGTGTTGCTGCCCACGTTGGAATTGATGGGAATGAAAAGGCAGATGAAGCAGCAACATGGGCTTGAAGATGACAGGTGTGTCCCAATTTAAATAATAGTAGGTCAGAAGCTGAAGTGGTGATTAAGGGACAAATCAAAAACTATGTGTCAGAAGTAAAAGAACAAAGAAAGTAAAGGAAGATATATGGTTTTAAAGTAAGTACAGGGTCTGGAGGACGAAATATGAAAGTGAATGCTTGAGACAAGAAGAAACAGTGGAACATGTTTTATTATATTGCAGAAACTTGCCCTTTAACCGATGTAAATAATCTAAGTACTAGACTTCCTGATCCACACACCAGTTGGTGGCGGTAATGCACCAATTCGTCGCCAATAAACCTCAAAGAAGAAGATCACAAATAGTGGCTGCTGGGTTTGTTGACTTTCTCTGAGGAATGGCGGACCCCATGGAGGTTCACTTTTCGGTGAATGGTAAGTTAGTTTATTGTAACTTGACTCCTTTATCTATTTTTTCAATATGTCTGATGTAAATGTTGATATTCACGGTGCCTCCGCATTCCCTGGTGGACTGTTTTCTAGTGTGTTCGTCTCGGTGTCTTCTTGTTCGGCCTCTCTCGTCATGGCTGACGGGGCGTAACTTCCCAAAGTGTGGGCTCACTTTACTGACGATATGTGTGCTCCTTTCTATGTAAATGCATCTAAATGTAATATTTGTTTAAAAAATAAAAACAAGTCTGTAGTTATGTGTGCTGTTTAAATTGTGTGTTGCTTATGGTTAATATGTTCAAATGTAGAGAGATGATCACAGCCTTTAAACTCACTTACATCACCAACACACATTTGTAGCAATTGCAAAAAAAAATAAGATTATTGAGTCTTTTAGTGTCTTTATTTTTTTTTT